AGAGGTTACTAACCAGGTGGCAGATCACACTGGTACCCTTCGTCAAGCCTCACTCACTTGACTTAGGCTTAACCCGTGTGAACCCTGCTACACGACCCTGGCTTCCAACTCCGGGCCAATGTAAGGCGCCCCCCCGCCCTGCCCCTTTCCCCTCCTTCCCTCGACATATGACCTTCCTCCCGGCCCCGCTTGTGCGCCTCCCCCCTGGCGAAACAGTTTCCCGCCCCGGGGGTGGGGTAGCCTTGGCCCTGCCACTTTAGGCGCAGGGAGCCCTCTGATGACCTTCCGAACGGTGGACTTCTTCCCCGCCCCCCCCAACAAACATGTGTAGGCGCGTGTGAGTGTGTGCTGACGCGCGCGCACGCGAAAGGTCCCGCCCTTCCCTCCCCCCTATTTCTGGCGCCCCAGGCCAAATGAGTGTCCAGGCCCTGCGCGCCATATCGGCCCCTGCGCGGACGGGGGTCAGCTCGCTCCACCCTGCCCCGGCCCCCTCCCCCTTTCGTGTACAATAAATTTGATCCGCCCCGACATAAGGTCAGGGGCTAGGCCTCGTCTAGTCCTATCTGTGCCCTCGCCCTTGTCGTCCCCCGCCTTCCCAGAGAACACGCCCCCCCCCCCGGGCCCCGAGCCCGGACTCGGGGAACCAACATTGTTGTTGTTTTTTTTTTGCCCCTCGCACAGTGCCTGCCAGCTCCACTCGAGACAGAGGCGGATGTCATCGCGCTCGGGGGGGGGGGGGGGGGGGGGGGCCCTCCCCTGTTGGGGACCGGGCGGAGTCACGCGATCAGGCTCCACAGTGCATTGGCCGTTGCCGCAGTGGCACCACCTCCGTCCGCGTGCCCGTGATGTGCCGCCCTCGCGCCGATCGGGGCGCGGCCCGGATCAATCCCCAGTCTCCTCGGCCTGTTGTGTGGGGCACTTTCCGCGGTCTGACACCAAGGCTGGTCTGTGTGTGTGTGTGTGTGTGTGTGTGTGTGTGTGTGTGTGTGTGTGTGTGTGTGTGTGTGTGGGGGGGGGGGGGGGGGGGTTCTGGCCCCGGAAACGGAGGCACATCGGTCTTTTGGGGCACCGACAAGTTGACCGTCCGACGTCATGCATGGACAAGATCCTCTTCCTACTTCTTCTATCCCCCCCCCCCCCCGTCCTCCCATTCCTCCTCTCTCTCACCCTCGCCCGCTGTGCCTTGTCCTTGCCGGTTACGTGGATCGGGTAGCTGTGCGAGTGGACACGCGCACGCACACGCGGCAAGTTGCCTTCTTGATGACATCGCATTTGTTCCCGCCTGCCACAGCGGCGGCCCTGCCCAGCTCCCCTGCCTCCTCGGCCTTATCAACGGCCTCCTCGTCGGGCAACTCGTCGCAGGAGCCCCGTTCACCCCCCTCGGCGGGCATCCGCCCGGGGGAGGTTTCCTTTGAGGAGTCTCTCATTCAGTTGGCCCGTGCCCGGGTGAGCGAGATCGAATGTGCGCATGGGGGCGGCTCTTTTTCAAGCTCCACTTTTCGTACCCCCCCCCCCCCCCTGATTCGGCCGACGCATGAGCTCAGTTCCTCACTCTTTCTCCCCCCCCCTCCCCCGCATTGAAGTCACCAACCGCACCAACAACGATGCCCTGCAAGCCCTGCTCGGGGGTCTTGAGAGCATCAACCGGCGCCTGTTGCATGTCGAGCACTTTCTCCAGCAGGAGTCCCTTCAGCCGCTGAGGTCCCCCCCAGCGGACATTGAGGGCGGCCCCCCTGGGCTGCCCGCGTCGCTGGCCGTCAACCCACCCATCAAGACCGAGGATGATCCCGGGTCGGATGAGGAGCTGGATGTCATGGGGGACGTTCCAGTGCGGCCATCCCCCAGCATCGAAGTCGACTGGCGCCGGATGTACCTCAATCTCCGGCGAAAGTATGACACCT